ATTAATGTATCCATTTTTAATACAATGTATGTGTTGCCTTTACAATTTCCATTATTCTCATTTCAAATTGTAGGAGGATTTGCTGCAGCAATAACCACTCCATTAGATGTTGCAAAAACTCGTATAATGCTTTATTCAAAGTCTACTGGCCCTTTAGCAGCTCCTTTTCAGAAAGTTCCTAATGTAACTGAAACCTTAAGTGCAGTTTATAGAGGAGAGGGAATTCAAGGGTAAGTAGTAGTTGGTAAACCGTTCCTACTGCACTACTTGTGACTGTAATAAAACGAAGTGCACAATCTTTCCAGATTATTTTCAGGTGTAACACCACGAGTAACATGGATTACTATAGGTGGATTAATTTTCTTTGGAGTGTATGAATATTCAGTATACATACTAGATAGAAGATAGACAAGTAAACCAGGCATAGTCCATTAATTTTTCTACTCACATGGTTTAAAATATAGTTGCCTGCTCATCTGGTGAAATAAATGCCACTGCTGTCAAATTTTTGTTACTGATTCATTTCTTTTTCCTTGTATTATCACAGTCTATCGGACATATCGGCAGCATTTTCTTTGCTGTTTGCTATTCTTGATCCAAATTGCATTGCTCTTTTGGGAAAAATGGCAGCTCCTTTGAGCCCAATGTGCCAAGCAATAAGTCTTAACAGCAGTTTGTCACCAACACCACAGGGAAAATTTTCATTTGGGTAACACCTAGAAATATCAATTAATGAGTTCAGAATTATGTGATGAAATATTCTATATAATGCAAAGATAAGAAGTACCTTTCCCAAGGAGCAAGCGCTTTCACAAAGGTAATCACACTTTCATCCAAAAATGGCATTCTAGGTTGTCTGCCATGGTGAGAAATCACTCTGTCGTCTCTCCCTAGGTTCCGTGTGGGTATTCTCTCCACCTCTAGTTGTAGCTGTTTGTGAAGAGCATCCCATCCATTATTTCTAAGGGTTGTGCGATGACGCATGTATCCACCAAACTGTTCATCTGCACCCATACCTGAAATAATTATCTAAAGAAGGATATATTAAAAACATAACTATGAGATATAATCTTACAGACATGACTGACTTGCAATCATTTTAATATGTAGCTTACCCTTGCTGGTGACACATAATTCTCATTGGATCCATAGATTTTGCCTTGGCCTCTAGCAGCAAACCAGAGAGCACAGCCTAAACTGTCATCTAATATAGTTCTTAATGGATAAATTAAATGGACAATAGATTTTGATCGTTCCTTTTGTAGCTCAATTTGAGAAACATTTATCTAAGAGTTACAAAATTAGTTGTCAGTTGATCAGTTTTCAAGATAGACAATTGGGTAGACTAATTAAAAACTTTACCTCAATGAAGTTCCATCTTCTATTAGGACACAGACTTTTCAACTCTTCCAAAGTTTTCTTCCCTGTTTGTCGATCAGGTACATTGTATGTCTCATTAAATTCTGGACCTGAATTTTCGACAGCATTCAAGTTACTGGATGCTTTTGCTTTCTTTCCATGAGTACTTGTGTTGGAGGCTCCTTTTCTTTTCTCAAATGCAACATTTAACAAGTCAATAGGTTCATTTTCTGGCACATATTTATCAACCAGTCGTGCTAAAATAGCTGAATCGAGACCACCAGAAAATAAAACAGCTACTTTTGAGTGGGAGCATGACTTCTCCTTTAAGCTCTTCTTATTGTAACAATCTTGGCACAGAGTGACATTAGTCATAACTCTAACTTTGACAGCTCTCTCTAACAAAGGCATCAGACCCATTGTATTTTTGTGAAATGTACTCAGACTTGCAATGTAATTGAGTTTATCACTTAAGGAGGCTGTTAGAATAGAATCTAATGCAGGAAATAATTCCTGCTCATTAGGTTCAGAGTGTGTATATGATAAAGGCCTGAAAATGTACTTGCAATCAGCAGCACTCTTTGCTATAACTGATACAGGAATATCTTTACAATATTCATTTATGAGCTCTTCATCCATCTCACACCATGGGTGAAGCAAAATGTATGGACCTAAAAGAGGCAATTGATATTAGACAAATTATGAATCAAGGATTGTAAAAATCAATATCAAAGCTGATCGATGACAAGTACCATTTTGAGTGTGAAACATATTAAGCTCAATCTCAAAAATGCCAATTGCAGGAACTTCGGTAAAATTTGATAGACTTGAATGTGCTACTGACGAAAGTGTAAAATTAAGTGGGTTTGCAGAAAAGCAACTCAGCAAACTGTGTCGTCCAACAGGGTCCCGACCAAACCACAGAGAGTTGTTGTTTACGTTGTAATAAATAAAACTGTATGGTCCTGAGATTTGACTTAAAACTTCTACAGGGGACGTTCCATGTGAAGCACAGTCCGATAAACGTTTGCCAACAACGGCTGTATCACCGAGTTTACTTGAAATTATATCTTTTTCCTGCCAAGAAAACATTATAGGATCACACTCTCACAAAGTTTACAATTTATCAATTAGACAGGATAAGAAATATTTTATCATACAAACCAGGACACCGCCAAAAACATCTCCATTCCAACACAAAATGTTTCCATCGACAGAATGAGGTTGTTGACATAAGCTTTTGCCTTGAGTTTGTAGCACTGAGGCAAAGAATTCTAGCTTCTGTCCAGAAGCTAATTCACACGATGTTGAGTTAGAAAAATCAGGACCACGACTTTGGAGATTTGACAGACAGGATTCCTGGAAACGCAAAGCGTACAAATCCATGAATATCGAAGAAATTTATATTATTTTTACATTCAAGGTAACCTTACCAATACATGTGCAGTTTGTTGACCATCCTCAGAGGACCTGAGAGAACAAAATATGCCACACATTGTGCGCCAACTATGTCATCCGATCTAAAAGTAAAACACTTTTTATTATAAAAGTAAAATAAAGCAATATAATCGTAAAATTGGTAAAAAGAGCCGCATACAATAACGACAGACGGAATCTGTAACTGTAAACAGACAGTGCATCAAACACTTCTCATTCCTTCCGGAACGTGCAATTTCTCATCGCACATGGTCCCGCCTGTTCCCGGCCAATTTGAACAGTGACGCGGGACTGGCCCTTTGCGAGATTCTTGGCGAATCCCGCCTTTACCAACAGCAAAAGTTGTTTTTTCAAGTAATTCCACTCTGAATGACGCTCCCTAATTTTTAACAGAGTCGGAAAAAGAAGAGGCAACCTTACCTTTCCCGAGGCGTTTTTTCCCCCCTTCTTGAAATGAAATCAAGATAAGAGCCTTTGATTCCCCCTCCTCAACTGCCGTCCGAACAGCGGCGAGCGAGTCTATAAAGCTGCGACGTCTTCTGCGGGCGCCCAGTGGCGCCCAGCCTTGCCCACCACCATGAAGACCGCCGTCCTGGTGTACGTCGCCCTGCTGGCGGGCGTGGCCAGCGCACTGGCCACCAAAGAGGTATGTCGTCGTGGGCCGCGAAACCGATTGGGGTGGGGGCGTAGCGAACATTTTAAGGGTAGGGATGGGGACCTATCCTTCTGAGCGAGAGAAATGCCCCTTTTGGCTGCTGCAGCAAGATATGAACGTGACACGGCGGTGGAAGTGGGAGTTCATTTGGCGCATCTAGCTTTTAGTGCTCCTTGCACCAACAGAGCACCAAAAGGCACACGCCAGCTCATGCTTATTGGGAGTGGGTCGAGTGTGTCTCGCGGCTTGTCAGAAGCATGCACTAGACGCGCGTGTCTTTATCAGGGTTCAAATCCCTCCATAGCTTGACGCTTCTCGCGGATTACTGTGGCATGATTGCGATTAGTTCCCCGGAAAGGGGAAGGGGAGGGGGGCTGCAGAATATAATTTAACCGGCGAAATAAAACTGACAGATTTCCCCACCAGCGATTATTTGTCGCTTTTTCGCGACTTTATCAATTACTACGTCTTTTCCTTCAGGTGCCCATCGCGAAGAAAGTCGGCCTGAAGCAGGTATCCGGATGTAAGTATTTCAAGCATATGAACCCCCCCCCCCTCTCCTGTTATTTCGACCTCCGACACTTTGACCACCTCGGTCTGACGTTTTCAGACAAGTCCGGTCTCAAGATCTACAACGGAAATGTTGCAAAGGCCGGCCAGTTCGCGTACTACGTGGCCATGTACGTCAACATGGAAGCATTCTGCGGGGGCTCGCTCATCCACCCCAAGTGGGTCCTGACCGCTGCTCACTGCGTGGAAGCGTACGTACAGCAAAGAACAACATCGCAGCGACCACCTCCACTTCTTCCCCCTTCTCTGTAAACCATCTACGTAACCCTTTTTTGTTTCGACAGAGGCTCCCTATGGACGATGTTCATGGGTGCGCTTAGCATGCAGCTGCCCAAGGAGGAGGGCCGGCAGGTGCACGTCAGCCGGGCCGCCTACCTGCACCCGGACTACGTCCGCTACGGTGACTTCGAGTACGACGACATCTTCGTCAACGACGTCGGCCTCATTCAGCTCCCGGACGCCGTCTCGATGACCTCCAGTAGGTGATATATGGGGGGCACTCTCATTCGGGGGCAGACAAATGTCGCGTCGGCTGGGCTTTTATGGACGACGACTACCCTTTTTTTCAGGCCGGATCGGTGTGGTGAATCTCCCCGATCCCAAGGGAAAATCGTTACTCAACAAGGAGCCGTATGTGCCGGGCTTCGGTTTGGTCGGTGACGAAGGTGCGTATGAGGAGGCAACGGTAGCCCAACACATTGCTGCTTCAAATTATTTTCTCGAGTAGTCTGACTCGATCGCCTCTCATCGGTGCGGTTCTCCCCCCCCCCCTTCTTTTCAGTGAGCGTCATCAGTAGCAAACTGATGTACACCCAGCTCCCGGTCGCGAGCAGCGACCTGTGCTACAGCCACTACGGCATCGCGGACCCGTCAGTGATCTGCGTCGACACGAGCGACGTGAAGGCCAGCACGTGCGGCGTAAGTCGGCTAAAGGGAGACAGGACGCGGCAAATTCGAACTCGTGTGCCGAGCAGTCAAACTGTGAATCCAGCCCACTGGCGTCACATTCAGATTAATGCTATAGGGCCGACGCATGCTCTTTAACCATCATCATCTTTCGATCGAAACTTTGTGTGTGATCTGCCGACGATATTTCAGGGAGACGACGGCGGACCCATGGTGCTTCAGGACGAGGGCAAAACGGTCCAGGTGGGGATCACGAGCTTCTGGGCGCGCGCGGGCTGCACCGTGGGCAGCCCCGTGGGCTTCACCAACCTCGCCCAGTTCGTCCCTTGGATCGAAGAGGCGACCGGCATGCGTTACCCCTTCCCCAGCAGCTGAGCCCACACGCCTGGAGAGGATCCTTTCACTTAACGTTTATCGATTCTTCTCGAACAATAAAAAAACATCTAAAACATTACCCCCTATTCCTTGGCTTTACCCTTTGTGAAACCCCCACACCACACACAATTTTCGACCACCAATTACAAATGAGACGTTCGTTTGCTACAAAATTTCGTCTAACCCCATACTACTTCCACCGAAGACCGTTGAGGTCATCATACATGAAACCTGGATGACGGCCACAGGGGCAGCAGAGTCGAGCGCCCAGGAGGTCGACCGAACGCGACTGCACACCACGCACGTCGGGTGGGTTGCCTACTCGAGCAACAGCAGGCGCTACCAGACGCCGCCGAGGGCGAGCGCTGCTGGAGGGGCCACATGCACGCTCGAGTCCTCCTCCACGACGGCCTTGACGGCCAGTTCGTCCGTGTGGCGCGAGCCTGGGCACGGCGGGTGCCGCACACGCAAAGTAGCAGTGACGAGGCCGGATCGCGGAGCGGCCGGGGGCGGCGCCGCGGACCGCGAGCTTTTGATAAGCCTTTAATCGGGCTTATTGAGTGAGCCAGGATGGCCGGCGGAGGGTCGGCGGCGGTCGGCGCGGCCCCGCGCGGGAACCGACGCTATATAGGGGACCTCGCCGCCGTCCGGCGGCTAGTGGAGCCGCCGCGATGCTCGCCATGAAGTTCCTGCCTGCTGTGCTGTGCGCGGCCGCCGTCCTGGCCTGCGCCGCCGCCTCGCAGGTAACCACAACAGAAGCGATCGTCGCGGAACCACTATCGTTGCGACCCTCACCTCCTTTTACTAACCGAACCGTTGGGGGTGTCCATCCATAGGCGGAGGAGCAGCTGCCGGTCTTCTTCAGGGACGTCCCCGGCGGTGAGTGTGTGCGCAGCGCGGGAGGGGGGAAGGGATGAAGGAGGTAAAGGCATGGCGCTGACCTATACGACCTTGCAGCCCCCAGGTCGGCCGAGCCGAAGCAGGAGCAGGAGCGTCACGGGCTTGGCATCTACAACGGGGACGTGGCCACCAGGAAGCAGTTCCCCTACCAGGCCGCGCTCTACATCGACCTCAACGTGTTCTGCGGCGGCTCGCTCATCCACGAGAAGTGGGTGCTCACCGCCGCGCACTGCGTCGAAGGGTGAGTACAACGGGGAGGTCCTCGTCGGGGCCCACCCTTGGGAGCCCACCACGGCGTCCACCACGGCGCTCACACTACTCCGCGCTTCCTCGCCGCAGGGGCAACATCTGGTACGTGCTGTTGGGCGTGACGGAGAGCCTGACCCCGCGGCAGGACGGCAGGCGCACCTACGTGACCCGCGGCGGCATCCGCCACCCGGACTACAACTCGCGCTACATCCTCAACGACATTGGCGTCATCCAGCTGATGCGGCCCGCCACTCTGAGCGGTCAGTAGCTCCGCCTCCCCGGCTCCCGTCAGTCGTCCTCGAGTGCCCCAAACTGAAGACCCCTTGCCCGTCTTTCTGTTCATCTTGCAGAGTACATCCAGACCGTGCCCCTCACACCGAAGAACGCGGTCTACATCGGCACCAACCCTACCGTGTCCGGGTTCGGCCGCACTGACGACAGTACGTGTCCACACCAACATCGGCCAGTGTCCGGCCTCATCTCTCGACCGTCCCCTCCTCTCTCATCGTCCCCATTTCTGTCCTCAGCCAACGCCTCCCCCATCAGCCCCATGCTCCGCTACACGACGCTGCCGGTGGTCTCCAACGACGTCTGCTCCGATGCGTACGGCTCCGAGACCGGCAACCACCCCTCCGTCATCTGCCTGCGCGCCGAGGGCAGCAGCTCCTGCAAGGTGCTCTAGAGGGCCGTGACCTCGCACCCCCGCCCCCTCCCTCGTGTCCTCCCTTGGCACTGAAACGCCTCGTCTCTTTTCCTGCAGGGCGACAGCGGCGGCCCATTGGTCCTCCAGGACGACAACGGGAAGACCTTCCAGATCGGCACTGTGAGCTTTGGCGCCAGGGCGGGCTGCTCCGTCGGCATGCCCGTCGGCTACGGCAACGTGTCGCTCTTCATCGACTGGATCTCCGAAACCACCGGCGTGGACTTCTCGTAGGCCCCCGGCTCGGCTCGGCCCGGCCGCGCGACGCGCGTATCGACGTCATGGGATTTGCGGCTGATCCACTCACGGATGACGGACTGAATGGCCGAGCCGCGCTGCACGCGACCGGGATCAGGATCAACCTTATCGCCTTATCGTGATCCTGGCGCGGCGCCCGGTCGCGTTAGGCCCTGAGCCCGCCGACTACTTACCCACGCTGCAGTAATCAGAGCTTCACTGAAGAGCCGGGCCAAGATAAACATACTTCCAGTATTAAAAACTGGCGAAATCGCACTGATTTCACCGAAATGACTGTGTTAATTGGAGTTTTGTATTAAACAGTTGGTCAATAAAAACCCTTTTACCTAATATCTCCTCAACCCTCTATTCCTGGTAAAAATGGCAGAGATGGTGAGGGGGGGGGGGCAAATCTCAACGAAAAAAGTCCAAAAAGTGCGGTGTGTGCCATTCTATAAATTGACGCAATCTGCCTACTGATAATCCAAGAAAAAGTGAATATGCTGTTCGAAAGACTCCAAAATTGTCGAGATACACCCGGTGTTACACCTAAAAATTAGACCGGTCTGGAAAAGCGATACAACCAAATACGTATGTTCCAAGCGGTGCAGCTAGATTGTCCGGCCTATTTTTCTCCGACCTGGTAATTTTTCCAAAACCCACCAAGGTGCTGTTCGACCTACTTTTCTCCGACCTCGTCGATATGCTAAAACATGGGAAGAAAGTACTTCAAAGAGGAACAGGCTTCATAAATAGAAAGCTACGTCGAGGGACGTATCGTGAAAGCAGATGACACAAATTTAAGGAAATATGTCTGTGTCCTAATTTTCTCTCGTATTTTGCTGTAATTTGTTTACGTTTTGAAGTGCGGGGAACA